GTTGTTGCTATCGTAGTGGAACTGAATTGTCACTGATATGTAATACTCAACTGCTTATATATCCATCTTAATTAAGCCCCCAAAATAATCCAAAATTGCATCGTTGAGAAGTTTGAAGTTATACAAAACAAGATAACCCATTTTACTTACTAAAAAATATTCAATTTGATACTGTGACATAGTTTATGCCTCCAAAGATGGTAGAGTTAAAACAGTATATCAATAAAGCTGTACAAGTGATTTGAGATTGGCTGTCTGGTACTGTGTAGTATTAATTTGTGCATCCATGATTTATTTGTAGTCATATATCCTGGCTCTATTTTTCTAAAAATGTATTTTGATGGAGGAATTTACATCTTAGGAGAACATAAAATATTCTAGTGCATGACCGTGTAGGAAGCTATGCTGATTCCAATAAGGGCAGGCCATCCCGGTATGAGTGTTACAAGTGAGAGGAAGTGGAAAGACTTACATACCATCTTAATTACAGAAAAAATCAAGTGGGTTGGTCTATCTACAAGCACGATCCTTTTAGGAAATTCCACTAAAAGAAAACAGGTCTTCCTGAAATGAGTGGGAAGGCCTCACACTCCGGGCACTGTAATTAGGTCTGTTTGTGTTTCCCAGGCCTTGGATCTCTCCAGGATCCATGAGGTTTCATATATTAAGCTTGACTCTGGCTGCCCCTTTAACCCTGACTCAAATATAATCACTGACAGAACAAGTCTAACAAAGTTTCCTAAGCCTGCTCCAGCAATGGAAAGGCAATAGAGGATACAGAGATAATTGACATTTATTAAGTGCTTACTATGTGCCAAGTTATTGCTTGATGCTTTTTATACATTATCGTGGTCATTTTTTCACAAAAACTTTATAAAGTAGGTAGTAGTATTCTCCCATTAAATATAAAGGCCAGTCAAGGTGAAACCAAAGTTGTCTCACTCTAAAGTACATGTTGTGGGGTGCTGTTGAGTCGTTTTTGACTCATAGCCTTCCCAATGCGACAGAGTAGACGTGTCCTGTAGTGTTTTCTAGGCTGTAAACTTTATGGGAGGAAACAGTCACATCTTTCTCCTGCGTAGCCACTGGATGACTTTGAACCACCAACCTTTCTGTTAGCAGCCAAGCACTTAACCACTGTGCCAACAGGGCTCACTCTGAAGAATACAGTCTCCTCCAAATCATATAACATCACAATATTACTTGAGATAATAAATGATATTGAAAAAGTCTCCATCAATTAGAAAAATAAACGTGGGATAGCCATAATGAATGGATAATATCTATGGTAACTAGGCAATATTATTTACAAACTAAAAATTAAGAAATCACTGCTATAATAGCAGCATAAACATCATTGCTATCCTTTCATGTTATATGTTTTCTTACTATGAATATAGGGAGAATGATTTTCTGTACTTCCCATATGATTAGTAACCAGAATTGGAACTGGAATTTTAAACAATAAAATATTGAGAGAATTTATGCAGCACAAGAAAAGAAAAAGCATAATGGATTGGGCACATACATGTCAAATCCTATACCAGTAAATTTTCTGAAATCAAGTGTTGTTTTAACCTTCAGCAACCTTATATTAGGGGCTAGTATAAGAGATGAGGCTAAAGAAAGCAATTATGTTAAAAATCAATAGACTCCATCTCTCTTACATGTCCTCATCTAAAAATGTTATTCATTCCTAATCTGTCCTTGTAAAATGAAACTGAATTTCAAACTTTACTGGCACTGTTATACTCGTGTTTTGTGAGCAATTATGAAATTAACGAAATCTCATTTAAAAAAAATCAAGATATTTCAAAATCCAATTATAGACCACTCTCTTATTTGTTGTTTTTCTTTAGCAGAAAGAAAAATTAAAAGTCATCTGAAATAGGCCAACTGATCTTTCTGAAAGAGTTGAATTGATCTGAGAAAAGTCCTATGCCAAAATTAATTTTAATAGCCCTGAAGACCCTTCAAAAATACCTTGCAAGGTAATTTATTGTTTCTGGCAGCACAAATGATTGTGTAGTGTACGCTGATGTCTCAAAACTCATTTATTTTATGCATGAATGTGTAAACATTATGTTTCCAATTTTATTCTGGAATGGTATTTAATTTCATGTGGCTTGTGCTTCACAGTCCCTTGGTTCTATCTCAAACATGTCTACATCCTCCATCTTGCAACAGTTCTGGTTTCTGCACCCTGTCAGATATAACCTTTGTGCTAATTTGGAAAATTCAGTTCTCACGTTTAGTGCTGAGAGACTGATAACTGAATTCTCAAATGAACTACACATTTCTGGAGATGAAGTACAGAGCTGTGGACAATGACTGTGTTTTCCCACAGTGTAAATTCTTCAGACTCAGCTGTCAGCATGTGAGTGTGCTGCACAAAAGCAGCTTTAACTTGATGACTTGTTTTCTCCACGACCATAAAAATGAAATGGATATTATACTCTCCTTTATGTTATTCCATCTTATAATGCGATTTTATTTCTCAGGGACAGTGAAAGCCTGTATGCCCTTCAGAGTTCTTAGCAGATCAAAGTCTGCTTCTTTCTGAATAAAAACAAATGTTTTCCCTCCCACATGAATATTCCTGTTTGAGAACAGACCAGATATCGGTGTTAAAAGAAGCTTTTTCCTACTAATTTTGCCTTCTTGAGTATGAGAGGAAACTTTTTAAACCTATCTTTTAGTAAAAGAAAATATTATGAAATAATCATTGTTTTATTTGCATATAAACTGTGGTCAGCTGGAGGTGTGTTAGGATACACATAATTATGGAGTGACAGTTATATATACAATTGAACATAACAGAATTTGAAAGTACTGAATAGTATGCAAATAATGCACACCTTTTACATTTGTTTGCTGTCCGTGCCCACCCAAACCCCCATGAGGCACCCTCACAAGTTCGTCCAGCCAATTCTCTTGCATATGTTGCTATAAAAAATTAGCATACTGCTTATGAAAATACCTGGGAGGGGGTGGAGTGTGGTGAGGCTGGCAAACCAACCCAGAAGGTGCACATTGCTTTTTTAAAAATACGGTAAATGCTAAAATCATAACATGAATAAAAAACTCCAAACACAGTTGTTTTGGTATGTTATTCTTTACAGAAGTTACACTTAAGCTAAGCCTATAAGAATTAGTATGTTTTTTCACAGATAAAAAAGAAGAAAGTCTTTCTAGCCATAGATGCTTGATGATGTCAATTAGTGTGCTACTTTCAAAGAATTTTTAGCATAAATAAATACTTGCGGGAGAGTTTGTCTAGAATGGAGAGTGATAAAAAGAGTTATAGAAAGCCATTAGTGACCTTTAGAGGAGCAGTTTCATAGAAATACACTATTAGGTGTAAGTCAGATTGAATGTGGCTAAGGGTGGTGAAAATGTTGAGAAAACAAGTACTAACCAAGTTATGGATTTAGACATATGGGGACTTCGTGCCAACACAGGATTAAAAGGAGGGTTTTGGAGAGAATAAATGAACACGTTTAAAGGTCTAGCAGAATAAATTAGTGGTGAAGAGGAAATGAAGGCAGTAAAAGAAATGCAAATTAGGTAAATTTCTGGAAGAACACCAATGCAATTAATAGCAAAGGCAGAAGCGCCAAACTTGGAAGTTAAGAGACATGTTATTCTCACTAATACATGAAAAATAATAGAATAATTGGAAATGTTATGGCAGAAGGGAAGATTTATTAAGTTGAGATTTGTTATGTATTTTTTGGATAGTCACTTTGGAGTATGGGGCATAGCAAAACTAATGTCACATAAAATTCATGGTCTCCTGAAGTTACAGACATAGAACTGTCCAGATATAGAATTGTGATTTTTCTCTACCAAGCCAACAAAGAACAGAAGCAATGAAATAAATTCTGAGGTCACCCAGCACTAAGCAGGCAAGGCAAGTGGAGCAGAAGTTCAAAGAGTGAGATAATCAAGCATCTTACTGAGGTCACAAGCTCTGTTCTTACTAACGAGTCATGCGAAACCAGGAAAAAGTTCAAGGACAGGGAGATTTGGCAGCTTTAACTGATAAGGTTGAAGGCGGAGATAAATGAGGTAATAATTACTTAATAAATGGGGATAATAATTACCCATGAAAATATTATGGGTATAGTTATAAAAATCTTTGATGAATGTGTAACTAAACATTTTTAAAAAATAAAATACTAGACAGAGGTGATGTAAGGATTATTTGCTGCAAAATCTGAATGAAAATAGTATTTATTTAAGGCATATACATATATACACATATACACACATACACATACATACATATATGTGTATATATATATGTGTGTATATACATACATATATATGTGTGTGTATATATATATATAAAACTACTTGATCAAGCAGTGGACACAGTGCCTGAAGTTCAGGAAACTGAGTTCTTGTCCCAAATCTTTTATTAATGGATTAATGGGTTAGGTGAGATATTGGCCTTAATTTCCTCACCTCTAAGTGGGAGAGAGAGTTTTAGCCAAGAGTAAAGGAGAATCAAATGAAATATTGCTGTAAGAGCCCTCTAAAATTTGGAAAACATTATCAATGTGATGTTACTATTAGTGCTGTGATTTTTTAGAAACATTCAGTAAGTAATATGGTGCTCTCAAGTCAACAGTGGGAGATGTAGAAGGAAGAAATGCCACGTTATGAGATTTGTGGTATCCGTGGAAGACAGAATTGGTAAGTCATCTTATCTTTTTCCATTGCCTCCTTTCCGTGTCTCCGGCCCACATCTTTCCATAGCTATCTACTGAGAAACCTCAATTTTGGCATGAAGTAAATATTATCCTACATTTTTAATCTCTCTTTTCTCGTTTTGCCCAAGTTTCTCACACCCACAGTCATGAAGTCACCACCATCAGCTCAACAGCATGCTAAATCTCAAGTCGTAGTGTTTGTACTCGAAAGGAAAATTTCTCCAATGACTTAATACAGTTACTATGTTATGTGCCTGTGTTACTGCATACAACACCACTTACCATTGAGCCACCTGGAATCGTGCTGCTCTGTCCTGATGGGGTGGTGGTGCCCAAGAGTTCGGAAGATAGCAAAGTCTCGCCCCATAAAGTCAGCAGCAGTGCCAGAGTATAATTCTCCGTCTATGTTGTGACAAAATGAAATCACATACACATTATTTAATTCAATTAAGGCAAGAAAAACAAAACAAGCAAACAAAAAGCAAAGTTTCATGTTATAATCATGCGAAAAAGAAAACAATCTCTGCATCATTATTTTTCATCTGATATCTTTATTGAAAGGAGTGTTTTATCAAATAATCATTCATTGACTATCTGACTATTGATTAAATACTAACTTAGGAAAACTGAGTAAAATCTGATTCAGTGACCATTGATAAATCATGAAATTTTATGCTTTCCCACTTTGGCTAGGGAAAAACTTACAAAATGCAACATGCAGCTATATTTAATAATTTTTTGCTTTTATAGAGATAAAGCTACTATGATTCTAATATCCTTATTTAGTAGACTAAAGTATTGTCACAAAATGCTCCTTGTATTTTTTATTTTAATAGAAATTAATTCTAATATACTTATTTATCACTGGATATGAATTAATAAGATTTTGGTATAATTTTAAAAGGATTGATATTTTCCTCACTAAACACCTTTTCTTGTTTCTTTTTTACTTTTTAATATATCAAGTGGGAGAAGTATTCTAACTTGGAATAAGATGATATCATACAATCCAAGAACAAGTTCACCATGTGACCTCAGATATAACAGAAACGTCTTTGAAATTGAGGCAGTTTTGATAAACACAGGTCATTATCACTACAGAGATATAAAGCACTGATGATTTATTTTGTATTGTTGTGAATTAAGATTCCATTGTTTTTTAAACTCATTCCTACTTAAACTGAATTAACTCTAGGTCAGAGTTGAATAATGGAGGAATCATAATCAGTAGAAGGGCAAAGAAGAAAGGGTGGAGAAAGGAAAGTTAATATTTACTGAATACCACTCTGTGCTTGTCAGGCAGCCGAGTAGTGGGCTTGACGCTTTCAAAATTATCTCATTTGGTTCTGTCAATAACTCCATGATGTAAATATTGCTATCCCTATTTTACAGTTCAAGAAACCTAAGGTTGCTCAGCTAATCCCTAGGCAAGTCAAGGTGGAAGGTTCAAACCCAGGTTTGTTTAATCCCAGGCCTGTTACACTAAACCCTAACACTCATTCAATAAACTGCAGTTTGTAAAAACTATGCTTTCTTTCCTCTAAACAGAAAGTGCCTCATATTATTTATTTCCAGAAAATGCATGATTGTCTGCACATATACAGTGAATTATTTGCAAAACAAAACATAATTTACAAAATTTTCCCCAAATAATCCACCATAATTAAAGTGAAACTTAATATTTTATTGATCGTTTGGATATGTTAATGTATTTGCACTCATTAATTTGAAAAATATTTAAATAAAGAAGGCATAAATAAATTATAAGTTAAACATTTTATATAGCACTACCATTTCCAAGGGATTTTCATAATTGCTAAATAAATGGAAGACTTTCTGTGAATCTTGAATTATAAAAGCATATGGTAAAATCTTACTTATTTGATTCTTTATATGATATTCTTTGTTTACGTCTTCAATTCCTACTTGCAAGTAAGGACTTTGCAGTATAAAGTAGACATTCCTAGTGGTCCAACCTAAAACAATTTCTTTCGTAGAACCGGTAGCTGTCCGATTGACTTGGCTTTGGAGAACATGGAGAATAGCTACACAGACAAACACTGAGCAACTCCAAGTTACTGTTTTCAAGATGAATAGAAAGATACCTATCTTGTAAAACATGGGTCATTTATTTTGGATTGTTGTGAATTGAGAATAATAAAATTGGTTAGAAAATATATACAGTACAAATTACTAGCTACATGAAGAGAGATCATATGTCACTTTAATTGTTGCAGAATGGTGTCTTTGAATTCCAAAACACCTTGTGTTCTCTTCAATTAATTAAATATCAAGTTCAAATATGACTTACTCTAACCATAATATGTTGCAATGTATTATACCTGACTAGAAAGCAAAGAAGGAACCCTGGTGTAAAATCACAAAAAATGCCATAAATAAGCTACCTATAATTTCAAAAGGACCTTAAAACATGGAAATCAGTATTATCTTGTTAATATTAACCCATACTCGATCACAGTAACATTTTTATTAAGGCTAATATTGTATCTTTTTATGAATAAATGATAAATACAAGTGATGGATTTTTAAACTTAAGGTGAAAGATACTTCTGGGTCTGTGTAAATAAGAAGGTATTAGATTACAATGTGTTGGTAAAGCAGCTTGAAATATTCATGCCAGTTTCAAAGATTTTCATGTTGTAATATTGGTCAAAGAATGCCTTATGTCCTCTTTCTTTCGAAAAATCAAACTTTCAAATTGTTAATTGAACTCAGTTGTCTTTGAACCACAGTATTGGTAATTAAAAGCAGAAAAAAAGTGAAAATAGAAGAAAAAAATGTAAAAACAATCAACAATTTTGTATCAGAACTTAGACAGACTGACCATGTCCTTGAGGTGGTGTGCTCAGAAATAGACTAAAAAAATTCCATTAATTGGTGGTTTATCATTTTTTTTTGTCATTCAGCTTGTTTTAGGTTGAGTCAATGCCACAATTATGATTGTTATTATTATTATATAAACTGAGGGGGGTGAAATAACAAAAACAGCAAATGAAACCGTTACTTGGATTTAGAAACCTATTTGTTTCTCTTAGCCATTTGTTTGTCTGCTTTATAACTTTTTATCTACTCCCATGTGAAGGCATAAATCAATAAAATGAAGGCATAGGAAGTAAGACCAATTTTCTTTCGCTTTTGCAACAGATGGAAAGGTCATCAGAGAAAGGATCAGTGGAAGAGCTATTGACTGAATTTATTACTAAGAATAGAATTAAATTAAACAATTGACTTATAAGCTAAAGGAAGGTGCAATTTAGGCTCCAGTTGCCTTCAGCCATAGGAAATTACCTCCCATCCGAATATTATTTTTGGCTAGAGTCAGGGTGATTTCTGTGAGCTGGAGGGTACCGGATGATTAGGTGGCCATGAAGAGCACATTCTCATATTGTTTGTGCTCAGTGTCAATAACTGTTTTCTTTGTGCTAGGTTTTAGATCAGATTTACTGCTGAGATTTCTATAGTGATGATTTTTCCAGAAAAGCTATGACATCTTTGTTGTTTTGGCCCAAAAGTATAGATGGAAGAATTTCCTACCTTTGCATGCTCATTAAGCAGAAATATAATATCAACCTAAAGCATATACCATTTAATATCATCAAGCACTTTCACCATACATTAAAAACTTGTTACATCCTGTGACTATTTAAAATGATCTTAAGAACCTGACCGGAAGAAATGTACTATATCTCTGTTGGGTTATTTTTGGAGAAAAGATAGGTTTAACAAAATGCCTACTTGCCAAACTTATTTTGTAGTTCCCAGGTCATGAATGAAGTTATCAAATTAGATTTTGGTTCTTGAACATTGTGTTAACTTGTCAGTTTCATGACCCTAATAGAACTCTTCTTGAAAATCTGAAATAGTATGTTAGGTGAATGTTATTCTGCAATGATTTAAGTGGCATTATGATTCAGATGCATACTTTTGGGCTTTCCCTATATATTAATGCATTAGTGAAAGAAAACATAATGTTTGTCCAATTTTATTAAACTGATGTTAGAAAAACGTACTAGAGGAATTGTTAAACATATCAAAAAACGTACTGGTGTATACTCTGTCCAACAAAGTCATTAAGCTTCTCTACAAAAAATACCATATAGGGAGTTTGAATGTCTCAAAACTAATTCATTGGCCTAAGACACTTTAGTGCTGACAGATGTATCCACCCATCTAGAAATTGTCAAATATAAAGGTTGCTATTTGAATACACCATCATTGTTTCTTCACTGTAAACTTTCTTAACTGTCTCTAAGGAAAGCATTCTTTACTGAGATGAACAAAGTTTAGTGTACTGCATTTCCTCCATCGTTGCGACACCAAGAGACACGGGTATTAAAAGTTCATATATACTCTGGGCTTTCTGTTCACAGCTCAAAATGAAGTAAAAATGTGGCTTAGATCAGTTAATGTATTGGATTACAATTCCTAAGAAGGGTGTGGTGAGGAGAAACAGAAGCTGAAAAAAACATTTCCTGATGAAATTGAAGCATTATAACCACAGGTGAAAAATGTGACATGGATGTGAGCAAAAATCAAACAAACCTAAAGACCAAATCATTATGTTGTTAACACCTTAAGTAAACTCCATTCACAGAGTTAAAGAGTAATTAGAAACAGAAGGAACAAAAGAACCTCTCTCTCACACACACATGCATGCACGCACGCACGCACACACGCGCACGCACGCACACAGCATGGATGAAACGCATTCGCTTGAAGTGAAAGGGTGTGGAAATAGAACAGCAATTTTCTTACAGTTTTACTTTTATTGGGTACCTTCTCTATTCCAATAAACATAATATGCTGCCTCTGTTACTTGTGTTGTCCTTTTAAAATTAACATTTATTTTTTTAGTAGTTTATATATGCATACGGTAAAAATTGAAAATATAAAATTTATAGGGTACAAAATCTCTCTCCCAGCCTCCCCACTGGCAAACACTGTTAGCAGGTTTTTTTCCCCCTTCTCCTTTCACGTATATTCCAGAAACACGCAAGCAACCAAAATAGTAGTTTACTATTACATTGTCTTATTGAATCCTAACAATAAACTATTGGAATTAATATGACCATGCCATTTTACATAGAAGGTAATTGATACTCAGAGAGTTTCGTATAATTTTCTCAATTATATTTAATTTAGAAAGTACCTTGTTGCTCTAACACCAAGTTAGACCTTTTTTTTTTTTTTAATGCTAGTACTCTCTTTCCTCGGGCAAGGCAGAATTCCGACTTGAGGATCTTAGCTAAAAGTTGCAGACCTTTGAAACAGATCTCAGTTTTATCTCTTAGCCATGGAATATTTCTAAATAATTAGTGCTGAAATGCCTGGAAAAAAACTTCAATGAGGAAATTAAACTGCTCTCAAGGTGACTCTTCCTTTCACGTCATGAAAATGCGAGGTGATATTTAATTAGTGGGGAAAATACTGAGTTTTATTCTTGTCTTGTACTCACACGTGGCATTTATTTTGAACAGGGGAGTGACTGCTACCTTTAATAAAGCAAAGTCATAAAAAATATTTGCAGGTGGATGAAATAAAAACATTTTAAAAATAAATACTGGAGCAACTTCATTTTGATAAAAGCATCTTTGTTAAAGGAGATTTGAAAATTAACTTTACTAAGGTGATTTGAGAAATGTAGGACATGTTATAGGATTTGGGAACTTATTTCAATGGCTAGCTATTATTCAGGTGAGGCTCCGTAATCTCCTATGGTCATTAGTTTAAAAAACCCAAGGCATTTTGGAAAGAGGATATACAAAACCTTGATAGCTTTTGTAAACTAAAAAAATTTCAGGTTGTCATTTGGTTTTAAAAGTTTACTACTGAACTGGTTGAAATTGCTTGATAATGGGATTGGTAGTTTAAACAGCAATTGCTGCCAAGGTTTTTCTGGCCAGTTTACAGATGGTTTGGGCCAAACCTGATTTTTATCCCCTAGTATTAGAGAAGGAAGCAGCTTGGCACCACCTTGAAACTTTCCATCTTCTGTGAAGAGATGGTATCCAAAATATTGTGGGAAGATAGGTTTTCCCAATGTCCATTCTCTAATATAAAATGTATAACCTGCATATTTCAGAGACAGTTGCTACCTTTGTATGTAAAAAGGTTTTGGAAGTGCTGTAGAGTGTATATGTGCTAAAGAGCTCCATTAAATGATTAAGCATTCTTTTTAAAGCAGCACAGGAGAAAATGCCAAGAAAAACCAAAAAAGTGAAATCAAATGTACTGTGAGAGGAAGAATTTATAACATAGTTATAAAGGAAGCAAACAACCTCAATAAAGGGAGTTACGGCTCTTGAATTAAAATGGTGTTGTGGGTATTTTAAGGGATTTTACTAGATCTAGTATGGTCTGTTCCTTTTTCTGTATTATGCTATTCAACTGATTCAGAAATTAAATTTATTTCGGTTGGAATAAAAATTTCCTGTCAGTAGGCACAATCTTTATACCTCCGCAGTTTACTAAATTATCTTACCATATTGGATAGATTAGGTCTGGTCTTCCATTTAAAGACTGCTTCTCTGAAATGCCTACTGTTCATTTTTAGCCAGACATCCTCTCCTTAACTCACTGTACTTCCCTCATTCATTTTTTCTTTTCACAAACCCAAACAGCTTTTTCCAAGAAATTCTAATATAAAATTTAAAAATGTGCGGCTTCATATTCTTTGTGGACTTCATACGATTGCATACCATGTGAGCTATGTAATATCTACTTGTCATCACCCTTTCTCAACTGAATATTAAAATAAATAAACAAATCCCTACTGAGAAACATACCACAAATTAAGACTGCTTGAGGCACAATTTTATATACTGCTTTTTCAGGAATACCCACGTTTTTTGTTAGTGTGCAATTTAAATAAGTATAGGCTGCAAGTTTGAACAAGGTATGACTCCTCCTCATTGTTTAAAACAACTTTTAAATGTCAGTGTGTACCCTTAAGGAAGTCATCCACATGTAATCACTAGGCCTTCTGTGAATAGGAAAATTACAAGTGTGCCAAATTTGTTGCATTCCTTTAGGTCTTAAAGTTTTGTTAAAATGCTGCTAAATGGATCAAATGGACTGAAATTGTCTGCATTTGAAAAGAAATCGAGGTGATAATTCATATTGCAGTAGTTTTATTCTTTATAAAACAGAGGTCAGTGAAACAGTGTTAAATACTTTAGAGAATACTGGAAGAATATATCTTCATAGATAATGCTGGAGTTAATATGACTAAAGTTTTATTTTTTGAGTAGGAAAAAGTTATTTGCAAAAGGAAGAAGACTGGGATAACATTATAAACTGATAATACATCAGACAGAAACCTAAATTTACTTTTTAAAATCTAGATTTATTACTCAACATTTAATTCAAAAATTTTGTGAAGTGTCACAATTATTTTTATTATGTTATGAAATAATCACTTCATATTTGAAAGAAAAGTAAACAAAAATTACATAATTTATATAGATTGTACAGAAACCTTTATTCAGTAATAGAATCACGACCCAGAATCTTTTGTGTTTTAAGTTGTTGATATGCTCAAAGATTAAAAAAAAAAAATGCTTAATGATCTATCACTTTCTGTTTGTGTGTTTATTTTACCCAAGTCCAGAGGTGAGTGAAAGAATATAGAAAATATTCTTTATCTTTCAATACAGACTAAAATTATGTCTCATTTTTACCTTCGTAGCCCACAAATTACAACTAAGCATTCACCACCTATTTGCAATGCGAAGGAAAAGAGGAAAGAAAAAGAAAAAGCTAGAAAAGAAGGCTACAGAAATTACAAAACATGCTTTCTTTAGATAAAGAAAAAGAAGGAGGAGGTGCAGGAGAGCAGGACCCCAGGTCACAAAAGGAGAATTCAGAGGGCCTTCTCTAGGCTGACATGTCCAACAAGATACCAGGATGCGTCAAGTCACTCAAGGTAATGCAATGAGTCTCTGACAATTGTACCCCTACCCCAGTCGGACTGATTGTGCTGATTAACTTGTCCAAATGTTGAAAGTGTGACAAATCTTGGAACTACAATTAACAGGATTAACTGAATCTCATTCTTTCTTTCTGATTTTTCAAAATTCCCTTCTTAAATGCTTCTTTCATGAAATGAAAACCAAAAACATTTTCTCACAAAATAAAAATTTTAAAGTTCAAGTAGGGATGTATAGTGATTGAGCAGGCCACTTTAAAGATACTATTAAACCATTCTGAATAAAAAGAATCACAGACTAGATAGTATAATAGTCAAAACAACATTTAGTGTTTCTTCTTCATTTTCAAAATATGTGAACATATCACAATTCTCCTAAAATAGTTTAAAACGAATAATGGAAAATCTTGGTAGATAAAAAAGAACATGCAAGCTGGTTATTATCTATAGAAAATTCACTGTTGAATTGATGTTCACTACATACCTATTAAAAGAGAGGCTGTCAGTAGTTTAGGGTCATATGGACTCTTCCCACGGCCATTTTCAAAATGTGAATCTTCCAGTTTAAAAATGTTATCCTGTTGATAAGAAAAATAAGGCTTGAATTTATTTATAAAAGGAAGTATTTTGAACATGCTAGTTAAACAAACAGAGTTTGGGTATTTGTGTCGAATAGCAAGGGATATCTTCAATGGTGTAAATTTTATGGATGACAAAATATATTTAATGGATTAAAACATAGCTATTATTAGCCAAATATCTACTTAGCTCAGATATTTTTGTTTTTTTAACTATGCTTTAGGTGAAAGTAGCTCAGTGATTTTTAGTAGCATTTAGGATGTTGCAAGTAATAATGTGTAAATGGACTCGAAAGAACAGGAAGTGTCATGATGAGAATAGAGTGTAGTTACTTTATCATATAGGTATGCCACAAGCTATCCTACTGGTTCCTGAAGGAAAGAATTTTAAATTTAGATAAAATGACTCCTTTTCTCCCTTCATATAAAGAAGAAAAATAGCAACTGACTATATTGGATGTCTATAAAAAAATACACCATTTCACCTTTCTGTATTTTCCAAAAGGAAATGCTAAATAGCCATAGAAATCATTTCCCCCATATGTCCTTCCTATATCTTTGGCGCTTGCATGCTTCATAACCAAAGCCTTGATAAGGACCTAACTAACTCATGCCTGACACTCTGTAGTCAGGATATGTCTAGCTTCTGTAACCACTATGTGACAATGGAGCAAACTGGGGATACTTTGGAGCACTCTTTTCAGAACCAGGTGCCCTGGTTAATTTAGGTCTGAATATGTGTGATTTTTCCAGTAGCACATTAACTTGTCCATAGACTGAAATAAAATTGCTTTTTTTTTTTTTTTGGCAATTTCTCTACTGTTCACATAAAAGTATTTTCTATCTTCTTAGAATAGTAAACGGTATTCATTTTATGGTCAATAAGGATCACTTTATTTAACAGTTAACATTTCTGATGGAGCTAATGGCAAGGTTTCAAATGATGACTCTTATAGCTTATTTGAGCTAGGGAGAAAAAGTGAAAAGGAAGCAAACCAAAAGTGTTTTCCATTTTTATTACTGTGAGTGAGAATTACGGATTGTATCCTTTCCTTGCATTGATCTGTATTCGGCAATCAGCTACCCTCTAGCAATGATGGTTCTTTGGCTTAGTTCTAAAACTCACACTGTGTATTAATTTATGGGCTTTCCCAGAATTGTGATAAGTTATAATGGGAAAGACAGTGTGCTAGGTGCCAGGCTTAGGTGGGACAATTATTAGCTTTGGTTCTTTGGTCACTAACTAATATATCTGAGCCTCTCATCCCTAAAAGTCAATGCAGATAAGGGTATTTAAACTCATAGGTTTATTATAAGGAATAAATAATTTAAATAATTTTAAAATAGCAGAATAAAATACAAATGCAATATATTTTATTCTATTAGTACTACTCTTATTACCACTCTAAGTACTATGAATATTTTTTTTTCATTTTTTTAAATTGTACTTTCAGATGAAGGTTTACAGAACACACTAGCTTCCCATTAAACAGTTAGTACACATATTATTTTATGACATTGGTTAACAACCCCATGACATGTCAACACTCTTCCTTCTCGACCTTGGGCTCCCCACTACCAGCTTTCCTGTCCTCTCCTGCCTTCTCATCCTTGCCCATGGGCTAGTGTGCCCCTTTAGTCTCGTTTTGTTTTATGGGCCTGTCTAATCTTTGGCTGAAGGATGAACCTCAGAGTGACTTCATTACTGAGCTAAAAGGGTGTCCAGGGGCCATACTCTCAGGGTCTCTCCAGTCTCTGTCAGGCCAATAAGTCTGGTGTTTTTTTGTGAGTTAGAATTTTATTCTACATTTTTCTCCAGCTCTGTCCGGACTTTCTACTGTAATCCCTGTCAGAGCAGTCAGTGGTGGTAGCCAGGCACCATCTGGTTGTACTGGACTCAGTCTGGTGGAGGCCATGGTAGATGGGGTTCATTAGTCCTTTGGACTAATCTTTCTCTTCCGTCTGTAGTTTTCTTCACTCTCCCTTGGTCCTCAAGGAGTGAGACCAGTGGAGTATCTTAGATTGCTGCTCACAGGCTTTTAAGATCCCAGATGCTACTCACCAAGGTAGAATTTATAAACTATGTTATGCCAATTGAGCTAGAAGTTCCTTAAGACCATGGTCCCCACAGCCCCCAGCCTAGCAATTTGGTCCCTCAGGGAGTTTTGATGTGTCTATGGAGCTTCTATGACCTTGCCTTGGACAAATTATGCTGGCTTCCTCAGTACTGTATTACTGTCTTACCTTTCACCAAAGTTACTGCTAATCTATTGTCTAAGTAATATGAATATTTAACACAAGCTGTTATCGTTTTTGCAAATTTTCCTAGCATAATATGAAAAAAATTACTTAAGGACATGTATATGTCAGCAAATCCCAAACTTGTTTACAAATAGAAATTTATTATAGGTACTTGGATATTAAAACTTTAATGTGAAACTTATTGACATGTGCAAAGAAAAGCCCACAAGCCACAAATATTTTCTAAAAATATTTAGATGCATTTTGATTAAAACATAGGAAATAGTAAAAAGTCAGTATGCTCAGTAAAAGATCCACACTTGACTGCCACAAATCAAGGAAAATATTATTAAAATTTGTTCATGTGATTATTTCTCATGGGTTAGAGGAAGTAGCAAGATAAGTGCTGGCTTGGTTGAAAATGTTGTTATAAATATTATAAATTTCTTATACTCATTAGACATTTTATACTACTGACAAGGACAGAGGAGCTACCCCTCTAAGTATGAGACATTTTTTGTCTGGGATCATATGTCCAAGTTAATCAGACAATGCCAAGGTAGATGAGAAGTACTTCCAAACTCATGTTATGTTTGATTTACACGGTAAAGGGTTAGACTTCATAGGAAGAGAGGTTAAGCGTGTCAGTTATGGTTCAAGAGAAGATGAAAACTATCTTTCGTCATGGTGGGGTAATATGTTCAAAGCTGGTCTCTTTTTCCTTTCCTCCTCTTTGCTCAATTCCATAAATAAATACTAGCTTCCTTGCCTCTTTTACTGATACACAATATCTTTTTTTTAAAAAATGTAACTCTAACTCAGATTCTTGGGTACCTACCATGTAATTCTTCTATACTCTTATATAATTCCACAGAGAGGTAAAACAAATTGAATTTCCTCTCTAGCCTCATGAGATGGGGACCTGGAATACATATAATCTGATTTCTGGATAGGGAAGTAAAATAACATTTCTTACATACAAATGTTTGCAGTGTAAAATTCATACCCGTTGCAGGTAGTAATGAGGTCCAAGGGTGTTGAAATGGGACAGAACTGGGTGTTATCCCTGGCTTTGCCTTTTATTAGCTCTGAGCCTCAGAAAAGTCCCTAAACCCTTCTGAAACTCAGATTCCTCATCTGTAAGAGGAGGATATGAAAATCTTATAAGGTTGATGTGAAAATTTATTATAATAATGTATATAAAACATTAATTCATTAATTTCCTCGTTTCATTGTTTTTAATTGCCACAATATAATAATCCTTTCCTATACTGATCAAAATCTCTCATGCCACAGTGAAAATGCCTTCCTACATTTTCATCAGTGGAAATTAGGTTAATTATACATGCAAATGCTTTGACCTCCCACAATACATTGAGAATTGTTCTTTAAAAAGACAAAAGTCCTGATGAAAAACTTTCTTTAAAAAAAGGATTTAAATTTGAAAAATATATTGTTTTTCTTAATCTGTGATTTTCTTTCAAAGTGAACAGAACTGCCATTCCATTAAAATGTTTTATTGAGAATCTCTAAAATTTACGATATCATTCAATATCCTTAAATGTACAAAAACTGTTGATTAAAAACCTAACCTCTTTAGAATGTCTGATAAATTTAGTGTGATTGATATGAAGAGATACGAATATTGCTGTTTCCGTTATCTAGTGAGCAGGGCCTATTAGATGTGATTACGTATATTGACCCATTCTCACACTGTGTAAAGAATATAATTGTATTTTAACTTTCTATCCCGTCATATGTAATATATCACTTACATCATTGTCTGGTTCTACTTGGAAGGCTTTCCAAAATTTGATTGCTACCCAATAATTTTCTGTTTTAGAAGAGTGTTAAATAGATCACATATGTAAGTAATAAGACAGAAAATCCAAAAACCAATGTCCACAATTAAGCTGCATGGCTAATATGTCTTACTGATCTGAACAAGTTTTCACTTAGAAAAGAAATCGAGTTGCATGGATTCTAATTGCTTTAGCAGACACTATGAGCGTATCATATAAGTTATTGTACCATGTTTTATTACATGGTTGCAACAGTTTTCAGTGATTATTTTTAGCTCTCAAGACCACTTTTTCCCTTTCATCTTTTGGATTCCCTGAATGTTAGTAGACTGTGGTGAGGTAAGGCATTAGGGGAAATAATAACTGCGCTAATGTCTAATCCAAAGACTTATAAATTATAAACCATTGGTGACATCATGGCAATAAATTTCCTAAATCTCAATCTTGTCCAAGTAATAAATTTAGCTAACAAAGCTGCAATTTTAGTTTAGTTTTTTTTTTTTCTTACATGATAAAAATACAAATGATATTTGCTTAAAAAACAAAAGAGAAAAGAAAATAATCTATACCTGGTTTGGAATTAACTGTTTTTGCTTAAAAATTACATGAAATGATGTCAAAACCAAACCTTAGTATGTAAAGAATGTGTGTGTTTTTAATTGCTCCTTATCATCTCTGCCTGAAATCCTTTCTTCCTTTCTTCCTCCCACCATGCACTATCAAGCCTCAACCTCAGGGTGAACATCCCTTCCTTTAAGACAAAATTCAAATGTCACTTCCTAGAGGAAGCTTTCAGAGATTCCTGAAGACATTGTTAGTTTTCCTTCATGTGTATCTAGATTACCTAATAGTACAAGGGCAATGGCTATCCAGGGTATAACTACAGCTTCCGCAAAGAAAGGGTATAATGGGATCTCACAGCAAGTACTGGGGCACACTACACTTTGCCCGAAAGAA